ACTGAGCTTTAGCAGGAGCCTGATGTTTCAAGGTCTCTGTGTGCATACCTCTAAGGTGGGAATGGAGATTGCACTGCAGAGCATGGTAAGGACTTTGCAGTCCATATGCTTTGCCCTCACTAGACTGCTGACTGTATCAATGGCTTCTCCACCCGTTCCAGTAAGGTCGAGAGGTTAACTAACAGGCAGGAGATCAAGCAACTGAGAGGCGTCATGTCTGACCTAGTGGGTCCACCAGCTGGTCAACTAGACCCATCTTCTTTGCTCTGTCAGCACGGATGTTCCTTCCAGTCAGCATCATATCAAAGGCAGCAGGAAGTCCCACCTGGAAAGGCAGAAAGGCAATTTCAGAATGGGAACATGCCACACAGCAGAAGAGGCAGGCTATCAAGTACAGTTTTTCTCCAACTTACTATCTTTGGCAGCCTCTGAGTACCCCCAGCGCCTGGCAGGAGACCCAGTAACACTTCAGGTGTTCCCAAGACTGTTTTCTTGTCCTTTGTCGCTATTCTGTAGTGACAGGCAAGGGCAACCTTAAAAAAAGGAAAAGAAAACTAAAGGTTTCCCTGTGAAAGACACCAGAAGAACCGGGCATTCATCACAAAGGTCTCTTCTACACACTGCCTCGGCTTTCCTCTCAACCCTACCCCAATTCCCTAATTCAACCGTCTCCAAACTTCCTCTGTGCTCATTGATGGCTTCTTCCAGCAAGAGGAGCAGATGACACCAAGCAGATGACAGCAAGCAGCTATGACATGCACACGAAACCAACAAACTGAGCTAAGCCATTTTTAAATCTCACCTAGAGGATCAAGGGCTGAATTCATTCACTACACCGAAAGCATGGTCCCATTTACAGATGAGCCATGATACCTGGTTCATCACTGGATCACAAAGTATATATCTGTCACCACAGTGCTTGTAGAAAGCTGACACTACTTGAGAAATCAGTACGGAACTGAAGAGACTCCATTCCCACAGTTACTCTGTTTTAGTAACAACTTTGCTCCAGGAATTACCACAGTCTTTCAGTTTACAAAACCCTAAATGGACATGACAAGGCAAATACTGCACCCAGCCGAAGTGGCAAGCGACGGTGTAGAGCACGTAGTCCAGGGTGAAGCCTGGCCAGGTTCCCCACACTCATCCCTCTCACAACAACCTTTAAAAGAACAGAAGTTGCTGGGATACGAGACTCAGTTCATCTGAAAAGCAGAAATTTCCAGCCTGGATTCTGCCAGCAGCATTCATCCAGATCCAATGCCCGCTGGAAACAGCCAGTTTTCCCTGCGACACTATCATCTAAACATTAGCCTGGCCTACATGGATTCATATTCGATCTGCTGTCTTTCAACAGAAGCAAAAAACGAGCATGGCAGAACCCTGAGCACAACTTAGCCATTAAATTGCCACAAACTCATCTGAATGGATGTAACGAACCCATGTCAGGTCTCAAATCCCTCTCATAGTAAGCAGTCCTGCAGGCATCCTTTGGATAGTTTAGAGAACCAGTGCTATCAACTCCCACTGCTGCTTATCAGACCCAGAATTGCTCAATACCTCCAGTCCTCCTCCCAGGCAGGTGCCACTGATGGCAGCAACTATGGGTTTTGGAGACCGCTCAATTTTTTCTAGCATCTGCTGTCCTTCCCGAGAGAGCTGAGTCACTTCCTGCGAAGTCTTGCAGGCTTCAATCATGCTGCAAGGAGGCAGAAAGGCTGATCAGAATTGGAAAAGCACAGAGAAAACAGCAGTGAAATGAGCGCGCTTCAAGGAGTTTGTTCCCCTTTTCCCACAAAGCTCCACTGACTGATAGACAGGCAGGAGCTATTGAGTCCCCCAGTCTCAGATGAACAGACAACGCAGGAAGACTACTAAATTCCATGGGTTCAGTCACTGCACGCTGACGCTGGTCTGCGCCTGCAGGCACTGAATGAGTTTCCTTGTGTCAGAGCTTTGAAAGCCTTTCGGGGGCAGAGGAGGAAGCGTCATAGGAAGCCTCGAAGCACTTGCCAGGAAGGGTGGAGGGGAGAGCCCAGGATCAGTTTTTAAAAGAGCAGATGGCCAGTGCTCTGATGTTGCTCTCCGCCAATTAGAGCCTCCCTGTGCCAATTATTCTCATAGAGGCTGGCAGCGTTTGCCAGGCAGGAGCGATCCGGGAGGCTCGTAGCGTTGAGACCAGCAGACACCTCCTAAATGCAGCCTGTCCTTTTGCTCTGCTTACCAGCTCTAGCTACTGCCTCTCTCCCTCCCACCACAACATATATCAAGTCTCTGCTCCTGAATACAGCCAGCCAAAAAAAAATAAGGTTTTGCAGGGCCTTCATTTGTAATTCACCTTCTTTCCTCAGAGCTTTCCGGCTTTTAATGAGTTTAAACAACTATCCTGTCTTGCCCAATGTCAGGACTAGGAGGCAATGGCACTCCAGGACCCAGTGGGAGCATCCACAGGGGTCCTCCCGCACTCTGCAAGGGTTACCCACGCTGAATCGCCTGGTAGGCTGCTTGGATGCTCCACATGGAAGAGTGCCAAATCCTGCCTAATCAAGGGGCCATGCTGGCAGAGCACCAGGCACTCAAATCCAGCTTAAATCAAGTCCTGCATGCAAATTTATCTGCTCTTGTTGCATTCCGGACCAAAGGACAATGCTCACCCCGGAGCCAGGAAGGGTTTTCTTGGCTGCGCCCCAGCACGCAGGAAGGAGTGACTGAGTGTTACAGCCAAATGGGGTTTAACAACTAGCCACGTTCCTCTTTAATCTAACTTCATTTGAGCTAGTTAGGGACCCTCTGCACACGGATTTCATTCCCAGCCTCTGCCTCACCCTTGGGGAGACGTCAGAGACAAATCGCTCAAACTTCACAGTGCACCAGACCACTGGCCCTGGATGCTGGACTTCAGGGACAGCTCCATCAGCTTAACTTGCAAGGTCCCCATACTTACTTGATATCTGCTCCAGCAATGAAAGAGCCTGGCTTTGCAGAGATGAGGACGGCACTTTTGACGGCTTCATTGGCCCAGATCTCATTCATTACCTCCCTAAGCTCTGCGTCCAATTGTCTGGACAGAGTGTTCACCTGAAAGCAGCAAATAAGCATTGTAAATAGGGAGCCCAGGAGACAGTGGAGTTTAACTTCTGATTTAGTACTGAACTCAATCATCACATCATAAGAAAACCTGCAGACAGACTGACAACAAAAAGTCAAAGCCAATGGTAGGTCTGAACGGATTTTCCAAGCCAGCAGGAGCAGCAGCTCTACAGCCTTTCAAGATTTGTCTTCTCAAAAAAAAAAGGACTAGACCATCCAGGAATTTGCTCAACAGGCAGACCATTGCCTGGCACAATTATAACATTTTTGGGGTGCTCAAATAGAGCCCAGATTTGCTATAAAAGTTAGTTCATCCCATGTCATAATACAGTGAGAAAAAAAAATCCCAAGACGAAACACTACAGCAGGTCATCAAGTAATCTGTTATTAAGAAATTCCTCCTCACCTTCACCAACAGTGAGTTTGTGACCTCAAACATAGATTTTTATGAGCTTGTAAGCTGTTTGTTTTCTATATAACAGACACTCTCCTCAGCCATTTTGAATCCAAGAACTTAATACAGTTTAGCAGTATCTTGTGCCAGTGAGAGAGACAAGTTAGCTCAGTACACACAAAATACTACCCATGAGGCATTTTCAGATTCCTCATTAAAAACTCAAGTGCTCGTTTTCCTATTTCTACTTTGCTCACAACTTTGAAAGGCTGCAGGTTAGGAAAGTTCTTTAGAATTTTCAATGTCTTCTCCATACGACCGCTATTCCTGCCATTTCCACCAACGTGCCTGTTAATCACAGCTGGCTAAAACAGTACCTTTGAGTCTGGTGTGTTGAAGCGTACAACAGCAACATCTCCTTGGATATCACAGCTAACGTGGGTTCTAGCTGGAAACAAACAGAAGCGTGTTCTGACCTTATGCTCAGTGGATTTTAAGAAAGAAAATGAGCT